GATTCCCCAGATTTATGATTCGTATTGCATACAATGACTTCTATAGCAGACAGACCTTTCTAGAAAGATTAACTTAACTGGTTTTCAGGTTTGTTCGGCAGTATTGAAGTAAGTTTTAATTTCTTGAAAGTTAACAATTACAGGGTGATACAGTCGCTTTATGAATAAGTATATTTAGGATCCAGTAAAGCAAACCAGGAATCCCAATTTGAGGGCTGCACGTGGAAGCTTTTTACCATTTCACTTGTTTTGCTCCTGTTTTTGTAGTTACAGGGCAGACAGATTAAATATGAGGCACTGATCGCATAGTCTTGTGTCATAAAACCTTAGGGTAGCCTCTGAAAGGTTTTACTTGTTCGCACGGACTCTTTCTGCAAATCACCATCAAATCTATATATCCTATTGCTCCCTGTCAGAAACCAAAATGTTAGCATTTACAATTTTTAAGCATTTATAGAAGCAATAAATATAGCAGTTTATAAAGTCACCAATAAATTATGGTGCTCTTGGTAGTTTCGACAGCTTTTGAGTCTGTTTTATAGTTTTAGTTATAATATAGTGATGTAGTTGTCATGTAGAAGTAGGTGTTTCATTCCAGTCACTCTGTGGCCTGCTCGTTGAATGCCAGATTCTTGTGTGTTTCACACTTGGGGTTCTGGGAGTCTTTTTCTTGCTCATGAAATATAAGCCAACTATTCATTTGACAAAATATTTCAGCACTTATGTGAATCCGGGGGCATCAAAAGGCAATGGATTAAGCTGAAAACAGGTTAGAACATTGAATTCATCATTTATAAAATCTTGAACAGCACTTGTATTTTGAAACATATAAGGAATTATTCCGCAGAGTGTATCCTAAATCCAGAAGACCCTGAAATGTACTGAAACTTTGAGTGGGCTATGACTAGGGAGAAACCAAAACTAAACTAGAAACCAAAACCAAATTCAGATTTGGGGGGTGGGGATTTAAAGGCAATGTAATCCTCTCATAAGAATATTTTGATGAAAAAAAATTTTTAATTAAAAAAAGACTATTTTGATGAAAGGTGGTAGAGAATGCTACTCGGTAACTTCCCAGTCTCTGTGGCAGTTAGATGTGGCCATAGGCTGGGTTCTGTGGAGGATTATGGGTCACTCGACATGTCCCACCTGGGGACGTGGCCCATAAAATGTCCCATGCCACTCCTCCTAATTTCCCCTTTGCATTTATTTATTCATTGATTTAAATCCTCACCTGAGGATATGATTATTGCCTTTAGAGAGAGAGGAAGGAGAGAGATAGGGAGATGGAGAGAGATGTGGGTGTGAGAGAGAAACATCAATCAGTCGCCACCCATAAGGGCCCTGACTGGGGGTTATACCCACAACCTAGGTATGTGCCCTGACCAGGAATCGAACCCACAGCTCTTTGGTGTGTGTGTCGGGGAGAGGGGCGGGGGTGATGCTCCAACCAACTGAGCCATCTGGCCAGGGCCCAATTTCCACTCCGAGTGGCTCAAATGGAGACCAGTCTCAGGGCAACTTGGGAAGGATGTTTTGAAAATGTGGGAGGAAGCTGGTTCCTGGTGGGAATCCCCTGGGGGAGCCGCCTGCCCGTCAGGGACAGGTGCTTTCAAGGTGGCTCAGCAGAAGCAGGCTGCTGTTGTGTGAGACCTGTGAAGTGGGGTCCGCTCACCCCAGCAGTTGGCCTGTTCTGTCCCCAGCATAAAGATCACAGAAGTTACCAGTTGTTAAAAGTGGTCGCTCAGTGAATGACCTCCTGTGACTCCACCCTTCTGCTCATCGTTGGTGATAAAATAATAACCAGCCTTTACCGAATGTTCCTTCCAGGAGCTGTTGGAAGATCGACAAGACAATGGCCAATGTCCACTAGAGTCCTTTGAGGTAGGTAATATTTTCCATCCTCTTTTCACAGATGAGGAAACCGAGGCAGAGATGGTTAAGGACCTGGCTGTGGTCACAGAGCTGGCAAGTGGTAGAGTTGGGCTCAAAGCTAGGCAGTCTGGCGCTGTACTCTCCTCCATTAATTGCCTGTTGGTGACTGTCAGAATTCCCCGTGACGCCCCCGCTGGTCTGACAGACAGGAAGAGCGTGCCGGTACCTCAGAAACCAAGTCTGGGGCCATTGGGTCGTGAGGTTTAAATCGTGCACCTCAACACCCTCATTCTGCACAGTGGGACCTGGTCCCAGACCAGGGGGCCTGGAAGAGGGGGGCCCTAACTTCTGCGCAGGGCTTCATGGATTTGTCAGTCACGAAGCAGAAGCAGGAAGGAGGCTGACATGCAGTGTCCTGAACGTCGCTGCTGTGACATCAGTCGCCCCTGGTGGCGTTTCGCTTGTGGCAGGAAGACGAAGTCCAGGGGGTCGGCGTGGCTCCTCAGACTCTTCTCCCAACAGGTGTAATCAGCGTCACCGATCTGTCTGCAGCCCGGGTGACCCAAGCTGTGCCTCCCTTCTTTCACTTGCTGACCGGTGCCACAGACTGTCACCTCAAAAGCCACGCCCTCCCCTGTGGCACCCACTTTGGGACATCACAAGAAAACAGGGGAGCATACGGCACCAGTATCACAGAGCTGGGTTTCGCCCACTTGTCCTCATTAACTGTTGCCCAGTATCCCATCGTCAGTGAACAGAAGCCGAGCCAGAGCCACTCCTCGCCACCTCGGCCTGTAAGTAACGCATTCTGCTTTGAGACAAGTGCTGATGGTTTCAGGTGAAATAATTTCCTGGCCCCAGATTTGGCGTGAGATGCCGCACTGTGAGTATCAGTGCAGGCTGCGCAGGAATGCTAACCATGCCAGAAAGTATTCCAGGACACGTGGGAGAAAATGTGCCCTGCAAGTGTTGAAATGTTTTGTAAGCAAGCAGACGGAACTCGCTCGACTGGCCCTTCCTGCTCCCGAGCAGACCCGACGTGCTCGACCTGCATTTTCCCAGCGGCAAAGCGGTGACGCTGCCAAGGAAAACCGTCGTTGGAGGCCCCACAGGCAGGGCACGGTGCCACACATCGGTCCTTGCCCACTTCTTGCAACAGGGACAAATGAAGGACTCTGCAGGAGGCACAGGTGTGCTTATCTCCGAGCTGGGGAACCCAGCCCCTTCCATATAAGGCAGTGTCAGAGGGCAATGCTCGGAGGAGACCTCTGGGTGGCTGCCTGCAGTGTGGGGTGACTGAGGCGCAGCCGGCGCCCGACACCCCACCCAGTGCGCTGTCGCCAGCGCTCCCCTTATCTGGGCGGTGCAGCCTTCTTGCAGTGACCTGGGGTGTTCCCATCAAACTGGAGGCTTGTTAATTTTCTGTTGCTACTCTCGAAAATCACCACAAGTTCAGCGGCTTAAAGCAACACACGTTTATTCTCTCCCAACTCTGGAGGTCAGAAATCTGCAATCATTTTCACTGGGCCAATGGCAAGGAGTGGACAAGGTCTGGTTCCTTCCAAAACCTGCTGCCTAGCCTTTCCCAGCGTCTGGTGGGCACTTGAACTCCTCTGTCCTCACCATCACCCAGTCTCCCTCCGCTTCCCTTCGCCTCCCTCTTCTGGGACTTGTGATTACAGGTAGGGTTCACCCAGGTAATTCAGGGTCATTTCCCTATCTCAGAATCCTTCGTTTTATCTCACCTGCAAGGTCCCTTTTCCATATGAAGTAACATTCACAGGTTCTGGGAATCGTGACAGGGACGTCCCCGGGGACCATTGCTCAGCCTCTCACACCAGGCCAGGCACCATTCACCGTGACCTGGGCCCCAGAAAGGTGAGGGCAGGGGCGCTGTGCAGACAGACCCTGGCTTTGGGGCTGTTGGAAACTGTTCGGCCACTTTGGGTGGGTGTACATTGGCCAGTGCTGGTGCTGTTGTTCCTATGACACACGCACACACACGCAGCCGCACTCTCACATGTGCACTCCCCTCTTTGTCTCTAGAAAGCCTGCCTCCTGGGTCCCATGCCAGGCCAGTTCAACTCCTTGAGTGACAACAGCAGCCTCTCTCAGTGGGGCTGGTCTGATTGGAAGGTGGTCACCAGCCTCGGGGCCGTGTGGAGGGAGCTGCACAGAAAACACACCAGGAAGCTGGACTCGAGCCCTGGTCCTGCCACTGACCACCTGTTGGCGCTCGACTGAGCCGTCCGGTCTGCTCCGGCTCAGCTCTTTAGCTTCATTGTAGGAAGTTTGTCTACCGCTGAATTCCCCCCAGTGGGATCCACAGAACACTAGTTGCAAGAACAGCTTTGTGTGTGGGGGCGAGTAAATGGGGAGGAAGATGTTTTAGTGGGGGTGCACCCGCTCCTCCAGGAGAGCCGTGTGCGATCAGGCACAGCGGAGACCCCGGAAGCCCTGTGTGATTGCAGTTGGGTGGCTCACAAACGGACCGCGCTGTGAGCTGTGTTTGGGTTACAAAGCACCTCGGGGTTTTTTCCCCAGCACTGAAGAGCAGACTTTGGGAAACACCCGTATGATGGTCTCTCAGGAAATCCCGATTCCTGCCCCTTTAGGGTGACTTCCGCAACTGAGACATTTTACCCATGAACTGGTCCCCGAGAAGATGAAAAATGCCCCATGCTGCCTTATCTGGTTCATCTTCAGCATCAGTTTCCGCTGGGGGGCCGGGCCCAAGAGCTAGAACAAGTGAGCCAGCCCTGACAGCGAGGCAGCCCCACGAGGGAAGGGCTTTCTTCTGCCACCGGCCCCTCACCAGCCTCTTGTGCGCCCCCAGTGTTTCTTCAGCATCTGCTAGGAGTTTGGCTCTTGGGATGAAAGCAACAGAGGGGACTGATGTTTTGTAGAGCAAACGACCTTCTCACGAGGCAGCCGAAGGGGGAGAAACAGCCAGGCTCTGTGCTCACACTGTGGGAGGGGCTGTGCCCCGGCTCCTTGGTTAGTCCTGGAAGGCAAATGCTGCTCCCCTGGAGAAGTGCGGGGCCCACGGCAGCAAGAAGGCAGGTGACTTTTCCAAGGACACGAGGACGCGTGTCTAACTAGTGGCAGAGTCGGGACTCAGCATCGGCCCAGCTGAGCTGGGAGGAGGGGTGGTGCGGAGCAGCACAGAGAGCCACGGAGAAGTGGGACTGTGGGGGGCGCCCTGGCTTGGAAGTCACCAGAGATCCAAGTTCAAGTTCTGGCTCTATGACTTTGGACAATTCACTGAACATTTCTGTCCCCCAAATGAAAAGGAGGCTGGAGATGACGTTCTTTCGGCTGTGAAGACGATCCACTGCCACTGAGGGTGGGACTTGAGCTGGTCTGGGAAAGAGGCTTCAGTCCGCAGGCAGAGGTAAGCGGGGACAAAAGGCAGGAAGTGAAACAAAGCTTGTCAGTACTCAGAAATATTTACTGAGCACTGACTTTGTGCCAGACACTGTCCGAGTTCCCCAGGACTCTGCAGAGAGCAGAGCCGATCAAAGTCCTTGCCCTCGGCGTGCAGCTTACATATCAGGGGGAGACAGATACACGGCCTGGGGTGGGGGAAGGTGACCAGTGCCGAGGTAAAACAGAGCAGAGTGAGGGGAACCAGGAGAGGGGCTGTCTTTTCAGTTGTAGATGGTGAGGGGAGGCTTCCTGCCAAGGTGATATGTGAGCAGAGACTTGGAGAAGGTGGAGGAGTGACGCCGGTAAAGGCCGGGAGATGAGCCTTCCAAGCAGGGCGGCAGCCTGTGCGAGGGTACAGGGGCCAGAGAGTGAAGGGTGACCTCCGGGTTCAGGGGCCAGCAGGGGGCCAGCAGTGCAGTTAGAGGAGGGTTGGGGTGGAGGAGATTCGAGATGAGGCTCGTAAAGTTGGTCTATTTTTAAAATGTAAAAACATGGGGGAAATTCAGGGGTATGTTAATTCCTGGTGTTCGATAACAAGATTAGAAAACTTTTAACTGTTTTGTTACCTGGTCCAAGATTCTGCAGCATGGGGCCTTTGTGCTTGATCAGACTCTGCACCTAAAGAACAAACAGCCTCCTAAGAACTGCCTCTCCCGGTTCCTGGGGCCCCTTTCTCTCCTGCTCTCTCAAGGACAGCTGGGGTCTGCCCATGACTACTGTGAGCACAGGGCAATGACTTTGTGTTTGTCACATTTGTTCGTTGTATTACATGACCTTTGTGAACATTAACGCGGACACCAGCCTCTACACCATTGGACATGCTGGGTTATGAATGCCAGGAGTGTCTTCCCATTTAGAACAAGTCCCACGCACTGGACCGTTCCGACTTTGCAGCTAACCAGCTGTGTGATCTTGAACCGGTCACTTAAGTCCATCCGGGCGCTGGTTTCTTTGTCGGGAAGTGGCTGGGAGTAGACCAGACGACCTGTACAGCCCCTTATCACCTGAAAAGCCCTTGACGTACCCTTTTAGCAAACAGCATTCCTTTCCCAGCATCTCTCCTCTCAGAGGTCAAACCAGCAGTGAATTCCCCCCATCTTGTTGTTTGTTAAACATGAATAATTCAGGACACTCCGGCCTGTTCCCCCGGGCCCCACATGACTAGTGCTCACACACCAGAAAGTTTACAAGGGCAGATTCTAATTTTCTTTTTTTGTTTATTGATGTGTGTGTGTGTGTGTGTGTGTGTGAGAGAGAGAGAGAGAGAGAGAGAGAGAGCGAGGGACAGAAAGAGAAACATCGATTGGTCGTTGTACGTTTTGCCGCACTCATTGGTTGCTTCTGGTATGTGCCCTGACCGGGCATCGAAACCACAACCTTGGTGTGTGGACAGCGCTCTACCCAGCTGAGCTGCCTGGCCAGGGCAGATTCGAATTTTCTTCTACATTCCGCCGCTGCCCTCCAAGATTTCTAAAATCATGCAATCCATTGCATGATTGTATACTTTTGGGCAAAAGTAGGTTTACAGTTGTTCCCATGGAAAATAATATAATGGCTAATAGATAATAATACAAGAATAAACTCCGTGTTTCATGTACTCACAGCTGTAAATCTACTTTCCCCCAACCCTGCCTCTTACAAAGGTATCTGTGACTGTAGAACTGGAGGGAATCTTGTTCCGTATCTTCACGGCCACGTGGGACGTGGAGGTTCACACAGCGGTGACTTGCCCTTGACGGCACACTCTGGGGCGGAGCAAGGACCAGACTCGGGCCCCTGGACTCGGGCTGCGCTCTTTCCCCCACCTCCTCTTGCGTCTATTTTGCCATAGCTAACCCTGCCCCTCTAATTGTGAAATGTCTGAAAATACTCTTGGGAGATGATGACAAAGAACTTTTGAAGTAAGATTTGTTTTTTCTTTTAAATATGCACTCATAGACCCAACGCCATCGAAAGGGCAACCAACACCATTTTCTCTAGAAACGCCAGATTTCATAGTGTGGTCAGTGTCTGACCTGCGGCATTCCATCTTAAATGACGCATTCACAAACCCGAGCAATGAACGAGGGGAGAGGAAAGGCTCAAAATAATATTCTTAACCTCAAAGAGTGTGACGTTTCAGTTGTGCAAGATGAATAAATCCTTGAAATCCAAGGTACAGCTCAGTGGCTACAGTTACCAGTACTGTTGTATATACTTGAAATTTGCTTAGCAGATCTTAAATTGTGCCTTCTAACCCTGAAAAAGACAACGGCAGCTATGTGGAGGCCATGGATAGATGAGTATTAGCCTGATTTTGGTGACTGTTTCACAGTGTGCATGTATCAAAACATCAAAAAGCACAGACAAAATGAGGCTGTTTAAAAAAGAATATTCCTAACCCCTCGCGGTTGTATTTCATCACTCTCATCACTAGGTGGCCCCCTGCTGGCAGACTGTTATCTGGAAGGCTGCCTCTGCTCACCCTTCTTGGAGTGAAGGTTAAAGGGGAGAGTCTGTAAAAACTCCTGGGCTTTCCTGCCTCTCGCGAGGGGCCAGAGGAGGGTGAGGGAGGGGCTTTGTGAGGGACCCGAGTTCTGGCAGCAACTCCTCTAACCCAGAGGAAGGGCCGAAGGGACCAGCTGGGATCAGAATGAGCAGATTAAATGTGCAAGGAACACCGTCGAAACCTAACTTCCACCACAGGCACAAGTGCAGTTGGAACAGGTCCCGAGGGTTCAGGTGGTTAACCCGCAGCGTGGGCCCCGGGCAGAGGGCAGCTACACCCAACCAGGCAAAGTGCCGTTTCGAATGAAGCCGCTCACCGAGCTGTTCTTCCCCGGGCAGTGTCCTCCCCTTCTGTAGCCGCCCCTCCGCTGTAACAAGCTACCAGAGGACCCTGGTCTCCAGCAGGACCTGTGCCACCTCCGCTGCATGTAAATGGCGGCGACATGTTCTGGAGCCGAGCTTTGGGCCTTGGGCCCAGACCCAGCCTCTCTGAGGCTCAGTGTGCAGTAGAATCTGGCTCCCTACAGAGCATGGCAATACTGCTGTTTTCATGAAGTCGACTGAGGGGCTGGCAAGATAGTGTAGGCAGCGTCTGGCACAATCCGACACCTGAAAGGAGTCATACCCTCGCTCATCTTCCATGGTTATAAACAATCACCTTTTCCGTTCCCTCTCCTGGCCGCCTGAGCTGCTCAAATCTACATGAATGAGAACTGACTTCATCAGGCCAGGCCGTGTGTGTGGCTCCCACTCTGTGCTAGGTGGCGTGCCCTGGGCACACACTTTCTGTCCCTCACCAGCTCAGCGTCTAGAGGGAGACACACACAGAACACAAAAAATCTCACAAGGACTTTAAGAGGTGTGGCTGCTAAGGGAATTGGGCAGCGTCACAGAGGGCAGGGGGCGAGCGTGTTGACCAGAGGGGCGAGGGAGCCCCCTGGGCAGGGGACACGGCGCGTGAAGTGCACAGTCGTCAGGGCCTGAAGCGCAGCCCTGTGCCTGGAGAGCCGGGAGCCTGCCAGTTGGTGGGCGAGGGGACAGGTCTGTTAGACTGGAGGTGGGACACTGAAGGACTTTGTTTGCCCCTTTATCCAGATTAGTGAATAGGAGGAAGACTCACGCAGTCCTGAGTAGCACCTCAGGTGTATTTATGACCCCACGAGTACAGGCTTGGGAGCCACTGGCTGGGGATGAAGGGGAACCAAGAGGAAGGAAGACTCCGAACTACTAGCTTGGGGGATTGCACGGGGGCTTCTGAGGGAGACGAATCCTCGCACCGAGGCCTATGAGCTGGAGATGCATGTATGCAACCCATGGGTGTGCAGGGAACTGTGGGAATGGGGAGGTGGAGCTCGTTGGCCTCTGCGAGAGATCTGGGGATCACTGGAAGTTGGGAAGTAGCCGAAGCTCTTGTGATGGGTTAGATCAAGTAAGTCGCTCAGACCTTTGACAAACTGAGTGAGTTCTTTCAAGTCTGAACTACCCACCAGATTGCAGCACCTCTTTGCAAGGTGTGATGAATTGTAGTGAGTGGTCATAAGTACACTGTTAAGCATCTGATTAATACCATCACAATCAAGAAAGTTCACCATCGTTGCAAAAAGTTCACCTATATTATTCGTCCCCTCCTGCAAGCCACAGCCCCTGGCAACCACCGACCTGCTCTCTAGCCTCCAGTTTTGCCTGCTCATAAATGTCACCTAAATGCACTCACAGTTTGTAGCCTTTCGTGTCCCTTCCAGCTTCTTAACTTTGCATAATGTTTCTGAGATGCATCCATGATTTTGCACTCAGTGGGAATCGTGACCCCCGTCTGGCACAGAGGTGATTTGCTCGGTTGTATGGCTAGCCATAGTTTACCTGTTTTCCTGTCAGGCATTTGAGTTGTTCCCGGCGTTCAGCAGTTGGGAATAAAGCTGCTACAGACATTCAGGTGCAGGGCGCAGTGTGGGCAGCGGGGCCCTCTTTGCAAAGCTCATTCAGAAATGAGCCGAGTGTCTAACACCTAATGCCTGATGCCCCTAAATGTAGCCTCCGGAATCGAGTGTTACAATGCTTATCTATGGTATGGAAATACTTCACCTGTGTAGGACTAAAAAGTGGAACACAAAACAGTATGTTTTCAAGATGGAAGCGAACAGTCCTCATCTGTGGCTCCTGGAGGACTTTTATTTTGTCCTTCATGGTACGTTTCTCTGTTGGACTCTGAGCTTTCAGGAACCAGAAAAAGAGTACCACACATAAAGAGGTTTATTGTAAGGAACCGTGGAGCAAGAAGGAAGACAGCAATCTTGTCCAGAGAGGGGCCCGGAATGGGGATCACAAGGAGAAGATGGGGACTGTCGCCTGCTCAGAGTGCTGCAGATGTGACAGACGGCAGACCCCTCAGAGGCACCCATCCGCCCTGCTCTGTGCTTCTCATCATGCCGGTCAGTCAGTCTGCAGACTGTTGGATGACTTCCAAGAGGCAGGCGCTGT